TAAAAATTACAAAAAAAAACTCTAATATTATATCGTTTTAATAATTTTTTTAAAAAAATAATTAAAATAACTTATTTTTAAACCAAAATTGAGTTTTAAGGATAATAAAGATAAATGTATTAATTTTGTGTCAGTTAATTTTTTGATATCCTATATTTAACTATTTGACACTATATGTCCATATGGTCAATTTTTTTACTAGTGTAATTAATTGGATTTTTCATTAGAAAACAAACTCACTTGAAGGATGGATTTAGGCCATTCACCTCTATACATCAACGAGAACATAATAAAGTCAAGATTGAACATCAAGATAATTAGTGTTACCTGTGAGTTTAGCATAAGAAATTAAAAAAATGAATGAGGATAACCAAATTACAAGTGGCGGCCCATCAGCTTATAAAGTCAATTTAAAAACAACTTAAAAATGAGGAATATCTTAACTAAAGTGAAGAGTCTTTGCCAATAAAATTATATGTATTTGTTAAAAAATTTAGATATTTTTATTTTATATCTTAAAGAGAATATAACTTAATCAAGATCGAAAATTTAGATGGTATACCTGTATGTTTCACCAAAGAAATTGCAAAAAATGGATAATGATAACCAAATCAGCAAGGCCAAGGGAATTAGACGTAGCAGCAAATCAATTCAATTGCAAAGCTAATTTTGCTAGATGATAAAAATTGCAGCCGGCTAAGCAGAAGAGGAGGGAACTTATCCAAATTATAGCTGGAAATTTCCTAGAAGATGCCTAGAAAATGCCAATGAAATGAATCTGCAAAAAGATATCCAATGAGGTTACAACAAGAAAGGTGCAAAATTAGTTTATTATTATAAAGTGATCAATAATTGTGCAACTGTTTCCTATTATAACATATAAAAGAAAGACCTAGGTATGGAGGGGGAAAGACCTAGGTATAAAATGATGACATGCCATGTGATCAATTTTGATTAATTTATTTCAACTGAAATATAAAAAAGCTAACTTCATTTAATTTAAAAGTATAAGAGGAGATTTATTTTAAGATAAATAAAAATATATTTCAGTAATCCTAGAAGTAAATGGGTAAATATACTATTTTCATCTTTTATCTATTCTAAAATAAGATTCAATCATTTGTCTTCTCCTTTAAATAAATATTTTTCTCACTGTTCAATATTTTCAAAAAATTTTATCTTTGAAAAAGATGATTTAGTTGTTAGAAATCCTTTCACTTACCTGATAAAAACCCAATAAAAATTAAGGACATTGGTAATTAGTCTTGCAAAATGTAAGATGCAGTGCATGATTTAACATTGTTTAAGGTGATAATTTTGTATGAGAGAGACTGGTTGCAAAATATATTTCAACAACATATATTTAATAAGTCTCTAA